CCCACAGGGAGAGCCGGTCTCAGAAGTGACGAAGGATTCGGTGATACTACTGCTGCTGAAGGCGACAGTCATGAGTCTTGTCTTGTCTTCAGTCTTGAAGTCTTCACTTGTCTAGTCTTGAGACAAGACAGCCAGTCTTGTCTCCCCACAGTGAGGCATCCCGGAGGACAGCACAGGTCAGGGCTGTGAAGAGGGGGCCTGTGAAGAGGGGGCCTGTGACTCCTGTCACCGTGCTCACACGCAAGGCCGCCGTGCTCAGCCTGAGTCTGAGATGTCTAGCAAAGTTTCATTTTAGGTTTCCATCTCACTCACCAGGGGAATTTCATCCTGGGAACAGGGCAGGTAGTGACCCTGACTCACCTCGGGCAAATCCCAGGGCTCTGGTGTTTCAGGGCCCCGCGGGGGCAGGGGAGGCAGGAAGGGGCTGGCACTGTTAACCCCTGCACCACCGGCTCCCGGCGCATCCACAAGCAGGGTCCCTCCTCCAAAGCAGGAGCTCCTCAGCCCCACTCTGAAGTCCACTCCTTTCCAAGGCTGGCTCCAGGCACTGCACAGTGCTCCAGGGAGCCAGTCTTGTCTCCCCACAGTGAGGGATCCTGGAGGACAGCACAGGTCAGGGCTGTGAAGATGGGACCTGTGACTCCTGTCACCGTGTCGCATGCAAGGCCGCCGTGCCCAGAGCCGTGTATGGCACAGTGCGACGCTTGCTGAGGGAAGTGTGCGTGTGTGAAGGGGAAGGCTGGATGCCTGTGGAGCTCCCGTGTGCTCAGGTCTGCACACACTGTGTCCTCACACCCCGGCAGTTCCCGCCTTCTGGCTACTACAATGGGCCCAGCAACTTCAGTTTCCTCTGTGTAGTCAGCAGTGTTCCCAGCAGAGTACGTGCCTGTGCATCACCAGCAGCCTGTTTCCAACTCGGGGTGGCCACAGTGTGTCCCCAGGGGCACACTGTTCCATGGGCTCTGAGTGGAAACATCAGTTTCCCTCCCTCTCTGCTTCTGTCAGGCCCCCCAAGTCCAGGTCCAGAGCCCTCAGAATGGGGTGCCCAGAAGGGAGCTCCCAGGGAGGAGGTTGTGGCTACAGCCGGCAGCACAGCAGGCAGAGGGCGCCGAGGGGAAGGGTAGGTGGGACCCAGCACAGGAGGAAATGCTCTGAGCTTCGGGAACAGCCGCCCAGGGAAGGCCCATTCCCAGAGGACTGTGGCTGAGGGCTTGTCGGTCCTCGCCCAGCTGAGGGGCTCATATCTTGCCTGTAAAGCTCCCTGCTGCTCCTGGGTGCCCAGGTAATGCCACCTGGCTTGTATCTGGCTCCTCCTCCACTCCCCAGAGCAGGATGGGCCCCTTTTTCGTTCTCTTGCTCCCTAGTGTCTTTTTTCCGTGTCTGCTTCCTCTGCCCTGGCTCGCTTCCTCCTGCCTGCATACCAAGCTGCTGGTCCTGCATACCCTGCCGCTGGTCCTCTGTGGCCCCAGCCATCTTTTCTTTTTGGACCAAGGATCGAACTCAGGACCTTGCACGTGCAAAGCAGGCGGCAGAACCACTGAGCTAAATCCCCGGCCCTTAGCCGCCTTTTCTAAAGGGCATCTCTCGTGCCACACCCCATCCCAGGAATATTTGGGGGCTACCAGGACCTGCAGGATAAAGTCCAAAGTCCTTTTCCTGGACTCGTGTGACCATCCGGGAGGTGACCTCACACAACAGAGGTCCCCAAGGCCTCCGATGGCCTCTGTCTTCCCAACACTGTGCCTGCTCCTGCTCCACCCCTCCTTGCTGTGCTCGGCTTCGCGGTCTTTGAACTCCCTGTCTAAGGCCCCGTTCTCCAGGAGATCTTTTCAGAGCTCCCTGCAGTGAATCTGTGGGCTGGCATTCAGCTCCCTGTCTCTGTGCACTTGGTGGCTTTGGTCAGATAATCTGCTCTCCCCACGTAGCTCGCTGAGGTGAGGGTTCAGTCCAGCCGTGGAGGCTTCGACAGGCCCCTCCGCAACTGATACTTTCTGAAAAAGTGCAATCCTGCCTACCATTAACCCTAAAGAGCTGATGTCCACTGAGCCCACCCCGGGTCCAGCAGTGTGCTAAGAGATGCACATGCCTCGTCTTACTTAAAGCTGTCACGTCCCAAGAATTTCCCACTCGCCTCACTCTGTCTGCAAAATGGGGAAGTCTCCTTTGGGAAACCCGAGGTCTGGTGGGAATGGAGGCCAGTCAGACAGATGCTGATTTACCGCTTCTGGGTTCTGAAATTCAGGTTGGGCAACTTGGCACTTCTGCCTCCCGTTGTCAGCTGCCGGCTTCTGCCATGGAGAGGGGAGGAAGGAGCATCAGCAGATGCAGCAGAGCAGGACCCAGGGGCCCAGGTCCTGGCCCCAGCTCCGGCCCTCATGGACAGCAAGGCCACTATCCTGCTCTGCGGCCTTGGTCACCACACCTGTCACACGAGAGTGCTGGCCTGTGTCGACATGTGATGTTTTCCAGCACCTTGCCCTGCTGCGGAGATTCGTTTCCTTGCCAGTCACACGCCGTGGAGGAGAGGAGTGGGCTGACTCATGGTGACTGATCTCAGCCAGGCCAGGCACAGGGACCAGCAGGAGTCAGCACAGCCAGGGTTCCCACGCCACTCTGGTCGGCAGCAAGCATGAGAGCGGAGGTTCCCAAAGAGCTGCTCTCTGCTCAGCTCCAAGGGCAGCTGCTTCGCCACCAGCCACTTCCTTCAGAGATTTCCCTGCGGCCCCAAAGCATGAGCTTGGCTCATCCCGGGCCACAGGGTCTAAAATGCGCTTTCCTGAAGGGAATCTGCCGCGCCCAGGGCGGGGGGAGCAGTGGGCAGCTGGGGAAGGTGACCCTGGCCTTGTGCTCACTTCAGAGGGGGGCTTCAGGGATGGGACAAAGTACGGGTGCTTAGAAAAGTCCTGGGCCCAGGCCACAACCACGGCGGGGGGCGGGGCGTCCAGCTGTGCCCGCTGCGGCTCTGCCGTGACCCTGGGCCAAGGGTTCCCTCCCTGTGGAGTGACAGTGGTTTCCTCTGGGGCCGAGGGGGCGAGGGGAGTTTCTGAGGGCCCCTCCCACGCAGGACATCACGGTCTTGCTCCTGGCTCCCACTTTGAGACGGCAATCCTTCTGCTTTCTCTGTCTTTCACATGAATTTAGCCCCGCCACTTCTCCTCATGGAATTTGGCCACAGACGCAACTTCCGGTGCAGTTTCGGAGAGAGCCAGCAGGTGGAACCCCAGTGGGAGCCCGTAGGGACTGGGCCCCTGAGGATCCAGTCCTCAGCACCTCAGGTGGCACAGGGAGGCCCTCGAGAGGGTCAGCTTGTGGACAAGTGAACAAGGCGCTTCCGGTTCGGAACAAGAGCCTCCCTCTTCTGCTGCAATTTCAAGAAAGCTTACGGTGTGGTCTGGAGGCACCTGGATCCTCCCCACTGCTTCCCACCTGCCCTTCAGGAAAACCCTTTCACAGGGCCACACTTCCTTCTGACGGGTTTCTTCCCTGCCTCAAACCTCCAAAGGCTTCCTTGGGCTAGAAGTGAAATCCTGAGATTCGTGGTCAGAAGCTGGATCCAAATCCCATTTCCAATCTCACCTTTCTCATCCTACAAATCCTCCAAGGCCCCCTCCCGTTACTGGCCAATCCCCAGCACAGCCACCTTGGCTGACAATGAGGTGGAAAGTGCGTGTGGGAGCTTTAGAATGGCACCTTGTCTACCTGAAGTGCTTCTGTACCCAGGCCCCTCTTCTGCTTCCCTTGGCTTCCTGGGGCTCCTCTCTTCTCATTCCTTGGATTCTGTTGCTTTCCATTCCACTCCCCACCCATTTCCCCCTTAAGACGTCACTCCTGCTGCCCTTGTGGCACACATGTCCCTGTGACCTGCAGCTGAGCACCTCCTTGCCATCGAAGCTCAGCAAACATCACGGTACCCTCTCAGCCCCGACAGCTGAGCCTGGTGCAGGGCAGGAGTAACAGCAGCTGACCCCAAGCCATGCAGGCGCAGCTGGGCATCTCCACGCCCATCTTATCTGACTCAAATCCCACGAGGTGATAGGTGAGGTCCAATTAAGAACCCACTTTACAGACAAGGCAGAGGCGGCTCAAGGAAGTTACACACACAGCCACGAAGCCCTCGCTCCAAAGCCCTTAACCATCTTGCTAACTTATCATTCGGTAACAGCTCAATTAAATTGGACAAATAGGCAAAAAAGCTCTCCACTGACCTTCAAGGGATTTGGGCTCACTGCCTCGTGGAGGAAAGAAAGGAAGTGGAGAAGACACAAGATAACTTTTTAGTTCACACTATGTCAAAGGTGAAGAGTTCTTCAAAATTGTCGGGTCCAGGGGCTGGGGATTTAATTCAGTGGGTCCGCTGCCTGCCTTGAAAGCACAAGGTCCTGAGTTCAATCCCCGGTACCAAAAAAAAAAAATCGTTGGGTCCAAACCTCACTATGAAAACGGGAAAACTGAGGCCCAGGGATGGCAATGAATGGCTGGCCCAGGGTCATGCAGAGAGGGAGGGACGAGACAGACCCAGAAGGCCTCTCACCTGGCCCTGCTGGCCGCACGGCCATTACCTCGACCTTGCTGAACTGTGATAACCTGGCTGGCAGCTGGGTAGTGGCAGAGCCCCCTGGGCAGCGGGCGGCTCCTGCTACAGGCACTGGGCAATCTCAGGTCCACAGACCCGGCTGGCTGTGAGGCATGAGGAGCACACAGAGAGAGGGTCAGGCAGCAAGAGGGGCGGAGGACCTGAGACCCCAGGAGGAGCTGGGCCAGCGTCCAGACTCAGGCCGAGCGGTCTTCTCAGGTAGGCCCGGAAGCGCCCGAGGGGGGACTCAGATTCAGCAACCTGGGTGGAAGGAGGAGGACCAGGCTGCAGGTTCCAGCAGGAGGAGGGGTCCCCACTGGAAATGTGTTTGTGTCTCTTTCTGTTCTTTTGTGAAGAGAATGAACGAGACTCAGGGAATGCATCAGAGGCTCACTCTAGCACATCAGTGTTAAAAGAGAAGCCAAGATTTTTTTTTTTGTCCCATTCTGATTTTGTATTAAGAAGACAGAGACTCAGGACAAAGGCACTGGCCCAAGGTCAGTGTGGAAGGGGCTGGTGCCGACTCGCTCCTTCCTCCGGGCCCACCGCCACACCCGCCATTCAAGGCACACACCACGCGGTTCAGACAGGCTCAGTGTGTTCAGGGGTTGGACAGAGCCGGAAGCAGGGCCAGGGTGGCGGGGGAGCAAGCTGGGGAGTTCTGAGGAGAGGCGGAGGAGGGTGGACGGGAGCGAGGGCTGCGGCTCTTCAGCCACGCAGCGCGAGGGGCGGCTGTGGGAGTGGGGCCGTCCCAAGCCCAGGACGAGCCCAGCCGCGCTCCCTCCTTGTCTCTGCAGCTGGAGCAGCAGCTCGGTCACGGTCGCTGCCGCTGCCGCCCGCATCTTAGCAGAGGGGCTCCCGGCCTAGTCCTCGCCGCCGCAGAGGGCCAGCAAGGCCTTCCTGAAGTCTCCGGAGGTGTCGCCCTGGCAGAACAGGGAGAGCAGTGGGAGTCGGACGACCCTGTCCCAGGGCCCACACCTCGCTGCCTCCCTCTGTCCCTGCGTCCCCAAGACAGTGTCACGTGACGTCACAGAGGCCCCCCCCCCCCGGCAGGTAAACGTGACCATGACGGTTTGTGGCTCCGAGATGCTCAGGAAGACCTGCCAGGTCTCAGCCTGGCTCCAGGCCCCTGCATGCGACATGTGAGCCCTCATGGGACCAGCGCTACGCCAGGGTGCCTCCGGGATGTGACAGCACCATGTGACCCTGCACAGCAGGCCGGGAGGCCACTGTGCCCGCGGTGCGGGTTCCCTCACAGAGCTGCAGCCCATGTGAGAGAGACAGATCTGGGCGCTGTTTTTCTTTGGGTATTTTGTGACATATGATTTTTCTCAAAATAACATATTCTCATTATAAACAATTTCAATCAAAGGAATAATCATTCAGTAAAACTCTGACACCTAGTTCCTCAAATCAAGAAACAGCCACTGTAGCTTGCTGCCATAGTGCCCAGCTATAATTCCAACGCTTAGGAGACAGAGGCAGGAGGATTGCAAGTTGAAGTCCTGCGTGGGCAACTTAGTGAGATTCTGTTTCAGAAATTAAAAGAATTAAAAAAAAAAAAGTAGCCACTATTACTACTCCCCCCCCCCCTTTTTTGAGACAAGGTGTTGCCATGTAACTCAGGCTGACCCTGAACTCTTGATCCTCTTGCCTCAGCCCCCTGAGTGCTGGGATTACAAGTGTGTACCATCATGCTTGGCTGTTACAACTTTCTTGTATGGTTTCCCAGCAACAGTCTGTGCATATGCAAATATGTGTATGTGTATAACATCTTTTTCCACACAAAGACACATCCTGTCCAGGGCTATATTTCTGGACTTAGAGAATATTCCAGATCAGTGCATTGAGACTTGGCATGCTTTTTCAAGGCTACGTTGCATTCTATTTATGGATACAGAGGCTAAGTATCCCTTATCCAAAAGGCCTGTGGACCAGAAGTGTTCAGAGTTTTGGATTTTTTGAATATTTGCATATACCTAAGGAGTATATAATTTATATAAAATTTTATGTAATATCTTGAGTAATTACGTGCATGAAATGAGAGTTTTGTCATGTGACAGTTCCCCTAGTGCTGTCATGTTGCTGTCTAGAAAGGTTTAGATCTTGGAGCTTTTCAGACTTTTGATAGTCAGACTGGGGAGGCTCCTCTTGCACCATGATTTATGTAACCAGTTCTGTACAGAAGGCTCCAGTCTTACTGCTATAAACAATGCTGGCAATGTTATTCTCTTACATGTCTTTGGGAACATGTGGTTATGTCCACAGAATAAATTCCTGTAAGTAAGTAGATTACCAAGTCAAAAGTAGAAATATCTAAAGATTTGAAACTGCCAAATTATTGTCTGAAAAGTGCCGTAAATTAAAGTTTCCCTCAAGTCTTCAAAGCTGTGAGAGGGATTTAAATATCCACTAAACCTTCAATATGGCCTGTGGGGTCTCATGTCCTCTCAACCAGACACTGGCCACACTCAAAGACCAAAACGTGGGCTCCATAAGTCAGAGAAGCCCGGCACAGAAGATGCCACTCTGCGTGGGCCCACAAAACATCAAGACAAGGCAAACTGTCCAGAGGAGCAAGCAGCCTAATGGCTGCCTACGGCGGAAAGAGGCAAACGGGAGACAGTGGAGCAGCCGATGCAAAGGCCTGGAGACCAGCTGGTGGTAACAGGAGCACAACTCAGTAGATTCACTAAGAATTACGGAATTATGGAATGTAAATTATACTTTGATAAAGTTGTTTAACATGTAAAAAACGGAATTTGTTTCATTTGGAAATCTTTGGCTATGGACTTTGGATACTCCTGGAATCTATTTTGGTGTGAACACTGCACACCCTGCATAGGTACACACACTGGCTTCCCACAGGGCCGCCCATGAGCGCTGTGGGACCCCCTCGTCAGCCCCCCTTACCTCGATGGCCTGGTGGAGAGACTTGTCGTACTTCTCAATGAACTCCCGCCGGATGTTGAGCATGTCTATCTCGCTCCGGGAAACCATGATCCTGGTGAGGGTCTTCTCATCAGTGCCAGCCCCCTGGTGGAGCCGGGCATATGGGAGACAGGGCAGTAGCAGAGACAGAGCTGGGTCAGGCAAGAAATAGTGGGTATCTGGCCCTCTCCCTTTCGTCCTCCAAAACCAGGGTGGAATATTCTGTGCCTGTCCTCCATGAACAGTCCTGACCCAAGACTCCCCTGCCGGGACTGGCCAGAGGAGAGGCGGAAGGTACCACCTGGGTTGAGCAGTATCCCCTCCCAAACAGACCCAGCTGGAACCTCAGAACCTGGCCTAATGTCAAACAGGGTCTTTGCACACATAATTACTATCCCTATTTCTTTTTCTTCTTTTTTTTTGTACCGGGGATCTAACTCAGGACCTTGGGCTTGCAAGGCAGGCAGCGGCACCACTGAGCTAAATCCCCGGCTTCCTATTTACTTATTTTAATTTTCTTAATATTATTTTGCAGTACTGGAGATGGAACCCAGGGCTTTATGCCTGCTCGGCAAGTGCTCTACTACTGAGCTCCTTCCCCCGCTCTGGTGTCTTTGAAGAAAAGGCCACGTGAAGACAAAGGCAGAGAGTATAGTGATTTGTTCATAAGCCAAGAAACACGAAGGATTCTCAGCAACCACCGGAAGAAGCCAGGAGCAAGGTACAGGACAGTTCCTCCCTTAGAGCATTGGACAGGACTGAGCCTCCAGACATCTGGATTTTGGATCTCTACCTTCTAGTACCAGGACTGGATAAGTTTCTGTTGTTGCCTGATTTATTCTAATTTGTTGCAGAAATCCTAGGAAATGAACTGGGGGCCGCTCAGAGGGCGGGGACAGTGGGGCTGGCTCTGCCAGAGTTTCTGGGCCTCAGGAGCCAGCCACGTACACACAGGTGAAACCCACTAGGCTTCTGTTTCCTGCTCTGGAAAAGGGGGTGCTCCGTGAGCTCACGGGGTGGCCACGGGGCCCGCTGCTGCCAGGGCAGTGGCACACTTGGCACAGGGGTTGGCAGACAGTGCTCCGCTTGGGGCATGTGGCATGACGTGCGCTCAGTCCTTCCTTCCTGAGCCCCTGCTCTGGCCAGGTGAGCAGCTGAGACCCCGGTGGCTGGCTGGGGGGTGGCCTGGGTTTCTGAGCAGAACAGGGCCGAGCACCGGAGACCTTGGAGGATCATTTGTCAGCTGCTAGCACGTGAATGCAGAGGGCACAGTGTATGTCCCCGGAGCAAGTCTGCCACCATGGCATTTGGGGCAGATGATTCTTTGCTGTGGGGAGCTCCCCTTCACATTGTGGGGTCACTAGCAGCTCTCTCTCTCCCCCTCTCCCTGACAGAACAGGCCAAGTGGTGACAACCAAAAATGTGTCTGGACATCGCCAAATATCCTCTGGGGAGAACTACTGTCCTAGAGCCAGACAGGGGGGCTCGCTGATGAACAAGCAGGAAGCAGCTATGGGAGTCCTGACCAGGGCCCAAGTGTCAGTGTGCATGAACCGAGGCACTCGAGGGGGCGGGATGGTGGACCAAAGCGCTTACCTTCATGGATTTGTAGAGTTTGTCAGCAAAGAACAGAGGCTTGTTCTTGACGCTCTGAACTGGTGGGAGGAGAGACGCGGGAAGCTTGGTCAGAGCCCAGTGCACTCAGACCAGTGGGAGCGAGCCTAGGCCACGAGTGTTACTGTGTTTTTAAGACCAAGATGTGATGGGCCAGGAATTTAGCTCAGTGGTTCTGGCACCTGCCTCACAAGCGCAAGGTCCTGAGTTCAATCCCCGGCACCAAAAAAAAAAAAAAAAGAAAAAAGAAAAAGACCAAGATGTGAATGTAGAGCTGTTTTTTCTAAACTAAAACCTCAGTGTTCAGGTGGAGCTGCAGCACTGGTGCTTTGTGAGAAATGAGCGGGTTTGGGGCTGTGGTTTGGCACCCAGTCTCTGAGAGGTTCTCTACCGCTGGCCTAGACTCCGGGCTGGCTTGCCCTTCGGCCCTCTTCACCTCCCAACCTGGCTCTACAGAGCACTGCCATGCCCGGGTAACACCCAGGGGTGACATCTTCACTTCCCCTTCCAGGGCCACCTCCTTTGGCTCCTGCCCAGCCCTGGCCCTTCCTGGGCTGCAGCTCACTCCCCGTTGAGGTGCACACAGCTCACCAAGAGGAGCACAGCAGTCAAAGGGGTGGACCCCTCTGAACCCCACCCACAGGGGCTCAAACTTTCACGCGGATCGAATCACATGAGAAGCCTAGGCTGGCCATCAACTTGTGATCCTCCTGCCTCAGCCTCCTCAATGCTGGGTCTGTACTACCACGCCTGGCTTCTAGACACATTTTGAGAACTCATCACTTGAGGACTTGGTAGAAATGCAAATTCTCATGCTTCACCCTGAGGGTGCTGGATGTGAAGCTCTGGAGGTGGGGGGCCTGTTTATCCCAGCTCACCCGGGACACCCCCGCAGCCGCTCACGGGCAGGGCGCAGCCTGGCCTCTGATTCAGAGAAAGACCACCCCCAAGTGAAGCATGGCTGCCAGTTTACCTGAAGGCACCGTGCCAGGCAGCTACCTGATTTCGGGGACCAGGGCCCTCTGAGATCAGCTGACAAGAAAGAGCGCCTGCAGAGCTAACTGGGCGGCAGGGGCGGGCAGGAGGCCTCACCTGAGTACCTGTGTGTACGCAGGGAAATCTTATCAAAGCCACCTCTGGGCTGGTACTCTCGTTACCTCCCACCTACTCAGAAGGAAACGGCACTTGGTTTTGAATTTGCGTGAGGACAGACAGATAGCAAGAGGCCGAGCAAGGATCCCTGTGGCTCCCTGGGCTCCTGGGCAGGAAGGAACCACTGCCTGCCAGGTAACAGCAGCACCTCCACTTGTCCAATCTCAAGCACCCTTCGCCACGTTTGGCACCTCTGAACTCAAAATACGTTTTTATCACTGATGACAGGTGAAACTTTCCACAGATGTCTCCTGGTAAGATCAAAAAGCACCTGCACCACTACAAGGCATTGAATAGTAAATTAAATAGGAGCCCCAAAATAATTTATGCCAATAAATACAATCTGACCCTTGTTCTATCTTCTTATCTCTCTCTTTTTTTAGAATAAATTTATTATTTTTTTGTTTTGGTACCGGGGATTGAACTCGGGTCCTTGTGCTTTCGAGCCAGGCGGTGGAACCACTGAGCTAAATCCCAGGCCCTCTATCTTCTTATCTCTTAGGGAGAAATGGAAATTGAAAAGGGATTTTTTTCAAAGTCAAGGACTCAAGTTATATGGGCAGAGTACAAAAGAGAGTCAGATGCTGGGAAGAGAGAAGGGAAAGGTGCGTGCGTGTGTGGGGTGACGGGTATGTGTCTTGCGTGCATGTGTACACGTGCCATGTGTGGTGCCTGCTTTGGTTTAAGTCTCCTGTGTTCACAGGGGGGCTTTCAGAAGGCCAGCAATCCCAAGGGCTCTAACCTCACAGGACCGAGCCATTGAAGAGATCAGATGTGATGGCACCATGGAGGCGGCAGATACAGGAGGTGGGTCGAGTTGAAGGGAAGGGGTCCTGGGAGCGTGACCTCAGGTCCTGTATCTGGTCCCTGGCCCCTTCCTCTTGGACTCTTTCCCCGCTCTGCTCTGTGGCTGCCATGAGGTGAGCAGCTTTTTCCCGTCATGCCCTCTGTGATGTTCCTGCCTTGCCACACACAGGCTGAATGCAATGGAGCCGGCTGACCACTGACCAGCACCCCTGAAACCGTGAGCCAAAATAAATCTTTCCTCATTCCTCTAAGTTGTTGTTTGGTTTTTTGTTTGTTTTTTTTTGGTACCGGGGATTGAACTCGGGGTCCTTGTGCTTGCGCAGCAGGCAGCAAAACCACCCTCTAAGTTGTTTTTTTCAGGTACTTACTTGGTCACAGTGATGAGAAGGTGTCTCACACTGTGTGCACATACTGTGTCCTGTGTGTCTGTCTGGTGTGTGTGTGTGTGTGTGTGTGTGTGTGTGTGTGTGTGTGTGTGTGTATTCTAGGCATGTAGGACACTGAGCCCTTCCCCTGCCTTCCTATCATGTTCCTGGTTCTTTCCCTGGACAGTCCCCCCTCCCTGCTCCACCTTGCAGCCTGGACAAAGTCCTCAGGATATCAACAGTCACACGCCTGGCAGGGCCTCTGGAGGTGACCGAGGCAGGAGGCTGCTGTGGTCACTCTTCCAGGGAACCCAGCCACATTCCCAGTGCTCCCAGCCCCTCTCCATGGTCCCTGCCCATTACCAATGGCCACAAAGGCGTCCCTGACGTCCCCAGACATCTCCTTCTTGATGACATGCTCCACGTCGTAGTTGGTCTTCTTGATGAATTCCTGGAAGACTGACCGCAAAAGAAGCACAGAGGGCAAGGTGAGCTTCAGCTCAGAGAGGAGAGCTCGCCCACCCTGGCCTACGGCTCCACCCAGAGGCTGTGCCCAGAAAGTGGGAAGGGCAGCAGACAGGGCCATGGCTAGGCTCAGGGCACTCCACAGGTCACTATGAGAGTGAGGCCGGCCCTCAAAGCCGCTGTGGCTCAGAGCTAAATCTGTGCTGGGTCAGCGCCTCCAGCTTGGGGCCTTAGGCAAGTTTAAGGACCCAGGCTGGCACAGGGAGAGGAACAGGGTCCTGGTCACAGCTCTGCCCAGACTGCTGGGGACCGAGGCCTGTGCTCTTTCTGCGCTTCCTTGTCCTGGAGTGTCGAGTTGGGACAGGGATTATTCTAAGCAATAATCACAACGATGCTTAGAGAGCAGGCCTGCTGCCCAGTGCTGTATGGGGGTAGTGTTTTTTGTATCCACACAACAATCAAGTGAGGCGGAACTGAAATCCCAATTCCTAGATAAGGGGATTCAGGCACAGCATTCAGCAGCTTGCCCAGCCAGTCACATGGCTGATAAGCAGGGGATTCAGATCTGTGTCCAATCTGCTCTTCCTTCTCTTAGTTCTGGGATTGAACCCAGGGTCTCGTGCGTGGTAGGCAAATACTTGACCACTGAGCTGCTCCCCAGTTTTTAAATGACTTTTATTTTGAGAAAGGGTCTTGCTACATTGCCCAGGCTGGTCTTGGACATATAATCCTTCTGGCTCAGCCTGCCGAGAGCTGGGATTACAGCCATGCACTGCCATGCCCAGTTCCAAGTCTATTCTTTAAGCCACTAAGTTAAGACTACATAAATTTTGAAAAGTGCTGAATAAACGCATGTTAAATTGTAGATGTCTTAGTGGAAGGGGCACTTTATGGTCATCTAATGAAGGGCCACAGCATGCAGGTGTGGTTCAAGGACTTCCATGGGGTCTCGTGTTCCCCCCCCACTGCCTTGTTCCTGGCCACCTATGAGCCACAGCACCGGACCTCGGGATCCTTCTCAACAGAGCACCGAGCCAGAGAGTCGGCCTCAGAGGTCAAATCACCTGTGTCCCTCAGCCCAGGGGCCTGCCTGCTCTCCTAAGGAGCTACCGGGCGCTGCCCTAGGGCGTGTGTGCCAGTGTGCCCAGTGCCCGTGGGCCACAAACTCCTCCTCAGATTGGGCTCCTCCTGCTGGCCCGGAAGGGTCCAGTGAAGTCTCACCTCTCCGAAGGTGCGGAAAGCTCCTGGTGCACAGGATCGTCATGAACCGTGTCTCCAAGGAAGCTTTGTCTCCACTGGGCGTGTCTGCTATTTCCTGTGGAGCCCAGGTTGGGTCATCAGGTGGGAGGGGAGACAAAAAGCTTTGGTTATTGGCCACTTCTGCATCTTTGCCAAGGCCAAGGGGAAGCAGCAGGGGACGAGTCCAGCCACGCTGAGCCTGGGGCAGAGATCTGGCCCTTTCTTTGTGCAGCCTCGAAGGCAGTGGCCTCCACATTCTCCTCCCTGGGTCCCAGGGGCCCTGCGGACACACGCAGATGGGCCCGGTGCTGCGGCCTGTGGGACGGGCTAAAGTGGCACTGGGCAGAGACTTGGGGTTCTCCTTCCTTCCTTCCCCCTCTGAGAGCCCCAGCGGGGAACACGGATGTTCACATCAGCAAGGAAAAGTGGCCCAAGCACTGCTCCCCCCAGGGGGGTCAAGGGCAAACAGCTGAACACCACAGTTCTGTGCCTCCACACTTGTCCTCTAGCCAGCTGCACTTCTGTGTGTCAATGTAAATTCCCTTTAAAATAACTTTTTGTAGGTTAAAAGAAAGTGAGTCGATTTAAAGTGAATAATAATAGCTGGTGTACAAAGCGTGCCAGCGGCGATGACCACAGTTGGGTAAACACTCGCCCAGCCCCGTTTTTACCATCAGGGTCCTTACGGGGCCCGAAGGGGAGAGAGAGAAGCTTCGGAGGAGCCCCCCAAAGTCACTCGGATCCTGCCCCGCTCAGCCCCAGGGCAAGGGCAGTATTTCTCTCTCATGTGCCCTGCTGGGGATGCCCTCGGGCTGCACAGGCTAGGCCAGCGCCCTGTCCGCATTACAGCCCAGCCCCTGCCAGACTTCCCTCGCAGCGGTGGACTATTGGCACCCGAATGAAGAACGGGACTCACCAAGATCTCCGCAGCCACCTGAGAGTGGGGAGGAGAGACAGGAGGGAGAGACGAAGGCGAGAGTCAGAGGAGGCTGGAGAAGACGGCTTTGGGGTTCTAGGGGACAAGGGGAGTGGCCCAGGTCCCAGGCGACAGCAGAACCACCACGAGGGGTCTGATCTGACGTGGCCAGCACTTGCAATGGGAGCTCAGCCCGGGGGATTGTTTAGTTTTGATTTTTATTACCACATGTTTGCCATACACAACGACTGCACCTGTCACGGGGAGCTGCTACCTGCAGGCAGCACATCTCAGTCCTTTTTACATCCCCTTCCCTCCTCTCCTTTCCCCAGGCCTGGGAGAGTTACACACAGGTCCCCCGGAGGCTGCAGGCCTTGGTCTGTCTGAAAGCTGGGAGCTCTAATCCTCATCCCTTCCCTGCAGACCCACCACGAAGGTCCAATGTGCTCATCGGCTCGGGCAGGGCCGCAAGGGCTGGGGATGCTGGAATTGAAGGCAGCAGGGAGCCAGGGAGCCAGGGCCTGGAGGAGATCACACGCTTGCCTCGCGAGGGGCACACAGCCAAGCACTGGAGGCGGACAAGCATTTTACCAGGGTCCATTTTAATCCCTGCTTCCTGCAGAGCACAACCTCTCCTGCTATTCATTGATTTTGTTTTTTTTGTACTGGGAATCGAACTTGAGTCCTCATGCTTGTGGGGGAGGCGGCGGAACCACTGAGCTAAATACCCGGCCCTGCTACTCACTGTTTTGCTAGGAAAGCAGCTGTGACTTGCAGTGCCTAGGAACCCAAGAGAGCTGGCCCTGTAGGCCCGGGTCGGGGACACCCCTGCCTTCTGCCCGACTCTGCCGGCCACCGTATTCCTTGGGTAGATGCAACACTGGTCTTTTTTTTGTTTGTTTTTTTGGTACCGGGGATCAAACTTGGGTCCTTGCGCTCACACAGCAGGCAGCGAAACCACTGAGCATCCCTGGCCCCAACATTGGTCTTTATAATTTCCACAACAGCGTTAAGCTCTGGAAACCTCTTCACTGAATAAATTGGCCAAGTCCATCAGAAGTTAAGATGCATGTGTCTCTAGTCAAGGCTTTTGGTTGCTAGGAATGAGCCCTATGGAGACTGGCGAAAATCTTATGCCACATAACACAAGGGTGTTTATCATAGCCGTTTCTGTAGTAGAGAAAAGTGGGAAACAAGCGAGGGATACCCAGTCAATGGAAACAGCTCCTGCAGCTGCTAGAAAGGGCCTTGGGCTGGGGCTGGGGGCTGGGGGTTGCGCTGGGGCCACCCAGAAAGGCAAGCTGAGCCTGAGGAAGGCCCTGGGTTCGATCCCTGGCACTGGAGAAAAGCAGGGAGACTGATCTACAGAGATAAAAAGGGGCTCCCATTTAAATTATATAAAACAAGTATAGTATAAGCAGTTTGTATAATAATGCTCCTTTTATCTAGATTAAAAAAATACAAACATTCACAAAAAGTACATCAGAAATAGTCAAGACATGCTTGACAGTGATTACCTTTGAAGAGAGAGAATGAGGGAAAAAACTTCTGCATTTAAAAATTAATCCTGAATTTATGATCACATTCCCCCATCACACTACGCATTCAACCCAGGGCCTCATGTATGCTGGGCAAGTACTCTAGCATTGAGCTATGGGCCCAGCCCTTTAAAAAAATTTTTAAAAATTTGAGACAGCATCTCACTAAATTGCCTGGGCTGGTCTTGAACGTGTGATCCTCCTGACTCAGCCTCCTGAGTTAGGATTACAGATTTGCTTCTGGTTTTTAAATATTTTTCTGTATTAAAAACACCTAGTTGAATCCTGAAGGCATGGTGGTAAATGAAATACACCAATCACAAAAGGCCAAAGGTTGTATGATTTCACTTACACGAAATACCTAGAGTGGTCAAAATCATAGACAGAAAGTAGACTGACGGTTATCAGGGGCTGGGGGAAGAGGGACTGGGAGTCACTGGAGTCAGAAGTAATGGCTGTACTTCAGCAAACGGACTTAATGCCGCTAAACTGTACACTTAAAATGATTAAATTTAAATAAGATGCTAAATGTTACATATAATTTATCAAAAAATTTAGAAAACATGTTGAAAAAAGCCTAGTATTATTTAAGGAAAATACATGGAAAAGGGGCAGGTAGTTTAAAAATTAAGCCAAAAAGGGCCAGGGATTTAGCTCAGTGGTTTTGCCATCCGCTATGCAAGTGCAAGGGCCCGAGTTTGAGCCCCGGTACAAAAAAAAAAAATTAAGCCAAAAAGAATCAAAAGTGTTAAACATTTTCATTTAGTCAGGTGAGAGAACCGTTGACATTTTTGTTTTTTAAAGCACCTTTAAGAGAATAATTAAAAAAAAAAAAGTGTAGTGGGCAATAAAATAACATTGAACACAGAAGTGTTTCCTTATTAGCTGAGCTATTTCATGCCCGAAATAATCTGTGCATTTCTTCAAAGGGTTAAACACAGGGCCAGGGGTTCAGCTTGGTGGCAGAGCATTGCCCACCAGGCCTGAGGCCCCGAATTCCCTCCCCCTCCAGCAGAAGACTCCCAACAACAACAACAACAACAACAACAACAACAACAACAACAAAGAAGCAAGCAAACAGACAAGCAAAAACCAAGTATTGGAAACTGCACAAGTGTTTGTGAAGCGTTATTCACAGCTGCAGGCAGAGCCCGGATGTTGTCAGCCGCTGAGGGGCCCAGCGCAGCACAGCGCAGCCCATGTGGACCGGACAGCAGGCCTTGGCAGTGAGGAGGGGTGAGGCACTGGCAGAGGCGGCCACATGGGCGGCCTTGCAGACGCGATGCCAAGTGACAGAAGCCAGCAAAGGCCAAATACTGCAGTTCCACTGATGTGAAACGTCCAGAACGGGCAAGTCCAGGTCGGAAGGAGACTGAAGGAGGCCAGGGCAGGTGTGGGGAGGAAATCAGTGACTGCGGACGTGGAGAGAACTGCTGTGGGGGCAATGAAATGTCTTACAGTTGAGGCGATGATTGTACAGGCCTGTGAGATACTAAACCCCGCTGAATTGTATACCATTTTTATGCTTTTCATAGGTATAATCATTTTTAATAATTTCAATTTTCACGTTACAGTTATACTAACTTTTATCTTTTGAGTAGGAAAAATTTATTGAGAAAGATAGCTTCTGTCTAAGAGAGACAGAAGGGGGACTGGAAAGTGGGTTGCCCCAGTAATTTTTATCTCTTAACAAGCCTTTTTGCATACTAATTATGCAGAATAATGAGTTTTACGGTGAATTGTGCACTTTAAATGAGTCAACAGTGTGGAATACGAATTATATTTCTGTAGAGCTGTTATATTTTTAAAAATCTGGGGATTGACTGACTAAAAATAAATACAACACGCCTTGTGGGCCTATCCTAATTAGGATCTACATTTTCCATGGCTCACACTGCAACAATGACAGTGAAAGAGGAAGCTATCAACAGTGGCTGCCGGCGAAGGCGGAGGCCTAGGCAGCTACCAGCTGGGGAGCAGCCCCGCCTCCCAGACGAGATAGGAAGGGCCCGGGATGCAGCCCAAAACAGCAAAGGAACGCCAAGTACCACCGCACATTGTCTTTCTAACGGAGGAAACTGGTTCTGTTCCTCAAATACCTTTGATTCTACATCTATTTTGTTTTAACATTCCCATTTCACCTCTAGAAATCTACTCTAAGGAAAAACTCATGAGTGTGAGAAAAATCTTGGCTACTGGGAAGAGGGGCTGTTAAATAGAGTATGGTGGCTTCAGATGTGGAACAGTTCTGTCCAGTAACTAGTTAACCAGTACTGATGTTTAAAAAATATGCAGCAGTATGTCCAGAATGTTAGGGTTTTGTGTGTCCCCCGCCTCCCCGTATCAAGGATCGAACTCAGGACCTTGTGCTTGCCAGGCAGGTGCGGTGCCACTGAGCTACATCCCCGGCCCTAGAATGTTAGTTTTTAATAGTTATAAATCAGGAATCTTTTTTTATCCATATGTAGAAAGATAATTTCAATATACACTATTAGATTATTACTACCATGTCAGGGATGTTTCCCTTACCTCTATTTTCTGAAGTTTCCGTGAAAGGATGTTACTCGTGAGATAAAAGATTGCTAGTTATAAGAAGAGTCCACACTGAGATCAGGGTTCGAGTCCTAATCCCCAGCTGAGTCAGGCAGCTTTGGCCCCAGGATCCCTCCGTTTCCCCAGCCAGGTTCTCTCTCTCCCCTTCTCACTGGCAAAGCAGCCGCCAACAAGGCCGCCAGCGCCCCCTTCCGGCAACAACTGGAAGCACAGCCTCACAGATAGATCTGTTCCAGTGAAACCTTTGTAGGACTGACAGTGAAACTGGAGAGGGAGGGTGGGCATGGGGTGAGAGCTAAGGCCAAAGTCCTCCTTAGCAGGCGAGGCCGCTGTGGCACTGCTTAACAAGCATTCACTGAGTGAATGAATGAAATGCATCTCAGCAAGCCACCCCGGTGTCAGGCCAGCGCCCATAAACAGCGCCACAGTGCAACTGAAATATCATTGCGGATGCAGTCTGCAGCTAGACAGCTGGGCAGCAGCTACCTGACTTGGAAGCTGCAGGGATCACGCCTGTCCTGGTCGTGGAGGATAATGGTGGGTTTGATAGTAAGGGCAGACTCTGGAGCCGGGCAAGCCCAGGTCCAATCAGACCAATGCCACTCAGAACAGTATCCTCGGAGAGGTCAGGAGCTCCATTCCTCTCCAGCACAACAGGGAACATAACAAGTACAGAACAGGTGCATGCTCGGTATTACAGAGCGTGCATTTTAATCAGTGCAATTCTGGTTGTATACTTATCGGGGTGGACTGAGGGATTTTTCTAGCTCAGGTGCTGTTGCAATATATCACAAGTATGCCGGTGGGGCTGGGAACAGAAAAGCTGGTTTCCCGACTCCCAGTCCATCATATGCCAGTGAGGAAAACACTCCTGGCTCTAAGAGTCCCAAGGCTAAAGCTGCCTGCTAACATCTGAAATCCAAAACAAGCCAATTGTGGGGTTAACTCCTTATAGCCTGCGCTGCTTACCGCCTGCTTCGGGCGCAATCAATACTGCGGTCTCCGTACTCTTCGACCCACCAATCATAAAATAAGGGGGCTGGGTTCACAGTCTGTGGTGTCTGCACCCCAACCCTGGATGTGGAGCTTTTAGGGGTGGTATGGGGCAGCCAGGGAGCAGAGACGGGAGACCGGGCCCCGGGCCAGGCCAGAAGATGCTGGGAAAATGGAGTTGGGGTGGCCTGGCCTCCAAGAGAAGCCCCGTCCAGACCGAGCTCCCCAGCCTGAGAAGCAGGGCAGAAGCAGAGCAGCTGAGTGACCCTAGAGAGCCCCCCGCCCCACAATCACTGTGCACAGGGCGAGCACGGCACGTGGCAGCCCCGAGGAACTGGTTTTCTAGGCTTCCCAGGCTTCCCCATGATGCGCCCTGGTCTTCACTCCATTTTGCAGATCACAAACGGAGACTTCAGCCCCCAGGCCTCTTCCCAGTGAGATCTCAGACCTGCTCCCTCCTCTGGGTCTCAATTCCACCCGGGCCACTGATTCACTGTGTGGCTTTTAGAAGCATTAACCTGGCCCCTTTCCCCTGTAACCTGAGAGGTTCGACCCGGATGAGCTGGAGTCTCTTCCTCTTCTGATGATGCTGATATTCGCACAGGAAACGCCAGTGAGACCAGCACCAGATTTCCCAGCCTCACTCTGAAAGCCCGCAGTCTCTTCTAAGGGTGAAGGTAGAGGGCCCAGAGCCCTAGCATCTGCCCACCCTGCCAGCCACGCGCCTGCTGGCGTCTGCCCCAGTCCCAGATGGCCCAGGGGCCGTAGACAGAGGCCAGAGCCAGGGTCTCACCTGGGCATCTTCCCCAGCCTGGTCCCGGTCTTCTCCTCCCTCCTCACGGTTTCCCTGCAGCCGGACCAGCGAGAAAAGTCAGTTCCCAAACACCCACCCGTCCCTGGCCCTCAGCCACCACGGATCCCGCCCTGTCCTCACCTCCCGAGCCCCTTTCCTCGTCTGGAACAATAACCCTGCCTTCCAGGTGGAGGTGCCCAGCTCCAAGGCTGGCACCCGGGCCCTCAGTGCTGTAAGTGAGGGTCTCTCCTGGGTGGGGGGAATTCATGGGACGGAGGAGGAAGCCCGGGGACAGCACGGAGAGGGTCGCCCGTGCGGCTCTGCCTGTGAGCCGGGGGCCGGGTGGCAAGGAAAGGTACCAAGGCAGCTGGACAAGTGAGCAGCAGGTGAGGTGGCGTGACCCCGAGAAGGCAGACGGGAGGCCCTCTCCTGCGCCCAGGATGCGCCTCTCCTCCCGCCTCGGCTGTGAAGTCACTCACCGTGGCCAGAGAAACGAGGATCCTCTTAAAGTGGCCGGATGTGTCTGAGCTCAGTGCATCCTCCAGGGACTTGTGATAGTCTGAGACAGAGAGGGAGCATGGGAGCCACCGGCCAAGGCAACTTGGTGGCCAAGGGCCCTGAAAGCGCAGGCTGAGCCAGAGCAGTGTGGGGGGAGAGGTAGGAATAAAGGAGTCTGCAGGGGCCCTTGGGGCACCAAGTCACCCCCGGATGCTTTTGTCAGGCAGCAATGTGGGCCCTGCTCGGCGCCCCTGCTCTGTCCTGGTGGCTGGCGCGTCGCCTCTTCTGGCTGACGTCCTCTCCTCTCTGCGTTTGCTCTCCCACCTGCCCTCCCACCCCGCAGGTGCTGGACCCTAAGCACAGCTCTGACCCTGACACCCCTGCTCGGAAACCCCACACCTCTGATGCTTATGGGAGGGGCGAGAGTTCTTCAGAAGGCAAATACGAAGCCACTTGTTTGAAAATTTCGAGACGGTGATGGCTCAGAACGCTAGCAGGCAGGAGGCGCTTCTCAGCTCGGGGCCGCACCCTGGAAGCGTCCCCCTGCCTTAGTGGCCTGGGACACGGCCCTCCCCACTCCATCCAGGCTCTTCTGCCTCCAGGACCATGTGCTCTTGGGACACCTGTCTTTCCCGACACAGGTGGGGCACACCCGAGGGGCCTGTCAAAGCCTCGCGGACCCTGAGGGAGGAACCAGGCCGGAGCCGGGCGGCCAGCCGTGTGGGCAGGGCTCACTCACCCTCCTTGTAGGCCTCATTGATGGCCCGGATTTCGGCGTTGGTCCGAGTGGCCAAGATTTCAATGAGGGCCTTTTCATCCGTGCCTGCTCCCTAGAGCGTCCAGGCAGAGAGGCCCTCAGGCTCCGTCCTGACACCCGCGTGCCCGTCAGCCCCGGCAGGGGCTGGCCCCGCCCTCTAGCGCTCAGACCGTACCTCCATGGCCTTCTTCAACTGCTTGGCGTCATAATGCGCCGGCGGCATCATCAGCCCCAGCATCAGCCTCGCCAGGTCTCCAGAGACCTCAGACTTCAGGTCAGCCATTAGGTCCTGCACGGCGGGCGGAGCTGAGTTAGAGGGGCCTGGGCGCTGCCAGAGGACGGGGCTGTGTGTGGGCCGAGGGAGCCCGCGTCTGCCTCGCTGCTGCTGGACTTCACACTGAGACGAGAGCCTGGCCCCCCACGCCGCCCGCCCTGAGCCTCTGGCTCCAGCTGGCCGAGGCGCACAGGGCTCGCGCAGCCCAGGCAGCGGGGAGGGGAGAGGCACCGAGGGCCAAGGTCCCCGACCACACGGCCAAGGCCGGTGCGGAGCTTCGTGGCGGGAGGGAGGCCCATGGGTGTGGCCGGGCTGGGGGCTCACCCGGCCGAAGTGGGACTTGAAGGTCTGCCGGATCTGCTGACGCTGGGCGTTGCTGCGATGTGTGATGATATCAATGATCGCACCTTCGTTGGTTCCTGAGTCACCCAAGCCACACGCCTCAGAGGAAGGCCCGTGACTCAGCTGACGGCCCCCACCAATGTCAGCCTGGAGTCTGCTCGGGTGCCGTGTGCTCCTGAGCCCCTGCAGCTGGCACCCGTGCCGAGGCCACGCCCCTGCCCTCCCTGGAGTCTTCCCTGCTTCCTTCTGCAGTGTCACTGGTGGGGGAAAGGGGCAGCTGGGGGCAGGCAGCACTGGGTGGGAGTCAGCGCTTTGGGTTCTGGCCTTGGCTCACGTTAATGCCATCCATCGCAGATCTCGCACAGAGTCTGTCTTTCAAAGCATTTTTACTTCTGTCATCTTACAGACCTAGAAATGCTCGGAAGGTATTCTCATTCCCACGACAAACAGAAAGGAAGCCCAGGGGGTGTGGGACTTACCCTAAGGCCCTGGGAGTCACTTCTGGACAGGTAGGAGGAGAAAAGGCACAGGAAGCAAACCTTAGCCATCCTGTCCCCAGCCCGGCTTCTGGCTTCTGAGCGCAGCCCAGCCCCGGAGTGGGTGAGGACCACCACCCAGCCACCCAGCCACCCAGCCACCCAGCCGGCCTGGCAATCAGCGGCGGCTGGGGCTGAAGGAGCTGACCAGCAGGGGGCGCTCTCGCCCCAAGGCGGAGGCTCTTGGGTCACACAGCCGGTTAGTCCTCACTTTACAAACGGGGAAGCTAAGACCCCGAGTGGCTGAAAGACTTGCTCAGTCACACAGTGAGTCAGCAGCAAAGCCAGGGCAGGAATCCAGGTTTTGTGAGCCACACCTTTCTTCCACACCAGGACACTGCACCAATGGGCCGCAGGACACCCTGGTCTCTAGGAAAGACTCCCAAGTTCTTCCTCAGCTCTGTCACCCCTGCTTCCTACATGGTCCGTGCCAGGAGGGGCCCAGGAGGGGAGCACTCGAATAGCAGGCCCTGGTTGGAGGCCGTATCCATCCCCTCACCCAGCCCACTGCCCCCAGGCCCACCTGCCCCCAGCCCCTTACCGAGACCCTTCATGGCTTTCCGCAGGGCTTTGGCATCTTCGTCGGGGTTGAAGTCGCTGGTGGGGCGCACGGTTCCCTTCATCTGAGAGAAGCAGTAGGAGCGTCAGCAGGTGTCGGGGGCTCTGGGCTAGGCTGAGAGGAGCATGGGAAGTGGGGGAGGCTTTCCCCACAAGCCCCAAACAAAGCAGCTTGGGGAAAGAGGCCGGGGTGAAGGCACAGCAGAGAGACCCTGAAGCAGAGATAGAGATAGAGAGAGAGAGAGAGAGAGAGAGAGAGAGAGAGAGAGCGAGCGAGCACGCGCCCAGGCCTGGGGCAGGGAAGTGCTGGTCAAGGGGCCGCTGCTGCAGGACTGAGCTCATCCAGCTCCTGTGGCTGCTCACTCCCCTAGGGTCCCTAGTCCTCCAGAACCCCAGCCTGGGCTGGCTCTGTTGCCTGCGGGGTCCCCTGTCCCTGAGGAGGCAGCCGAGTTGTTCAGGGACATCAGAACGGCCTCCCCATGTCTGGTCACCTGCTTCCCACATTTGTACACACCCCGCGCTCCTTTTAATACCTACACCTCACTCATCTTCTTTCCTGGCTTACTTAAGCACATCTGGAAGACTGCTTTTTTGTTTGTTTGTTTTGGGCCTGGGCATCAGACTCGGGGCCTGGCACATGCTAAGCACATGCTCTACTACTTGGCTACACCCCAGCCCAACGCATCCACTGAGAAGTGCGGTTACACATTCCCAAAGGGCAGGGGTTTTTTTTTTTTTTTGGTACCAGGGATTGAACTTGGGACCTTGTGCTCTCGAGGCAGGAGGTGGAACCACTGAGCTAAATCCCGGGCCCCAAAGGGCAGATTTGCATCTGTTTTGCCCTTTGATGCATCCTCTTCTGCCCACAACAGTGCCTGGGATGCAGAAAACCAACACCAAAAGAAACCCTTGTTAAACGAATTCATGATGAAAACTGCTTTGTATTACTGTCGTGAGTTAGAAAATCAGTACAATTACTCGTGAGAACAAATGCAGCAAAAACAAAAATGTCACCCAATTTAAGATGTCATTGCTTGACACAGGCTCTGAGCATGAAGCCAGCCCCGGGCCCTGAAAGGGGGCTTAGCAGGCGCCGCAGAGTGTGGGGCAGGAGGAGGTGGTAAACGGGGCATGATCAGGGGCCAGGACCTGAGGAGGAGGAGCTGTGGCCTCCGTGAAACTCAGGGCGCTTTTCTCACACAGTTAAGGTCATCTGGAAGGATTGTGCGCATGTGCATGTGTGTGCGCAGATGTGCATGTGTGTGCACATGTGTTTGTGCATGTGTGTGTGCATATGTGTGCGTGGGATACTGAGGATTGAACCTGCGGCTCTCTACCACTAAGCTACAGCCCGGGAGCTGTCTGCCCCTTTGCTTCTGTGTAACCTCGGCCCCTGCTCCTCTGTGGGCGCCGGGTCGGGATGCCGGGGAGCACAGCCCTATCTCCTCCGGCACCCTCCCTGCGCACTGCCTGTGGGGGCCACCTGTCGGGTACAGGACGGGCGGGCGCCCGCGGGACCAGCCGGGCTGCACTCGTTAGTACTGAGCGGGGAAAAACACGGCAGAGCGTTAGAAGTTAATGCAGAATTTGGCCCAGTGGACCCTGGAAGGGAGAAAAGGAAGCTGCGGACGCGAGTGTCGCTCTCGGGTTGGCCGCCAGGGGGCACCCGGGTGCCAACCCGAGCGGCAGGAAGGTGCAAGCGAGAGGGGAAGCGTGTCGGAGGCCAAGCAGGAGTGTGGAGGGGCTGACCTCTACTCGGGACACTGCACTAAGCTCCCACATCTGATAGGCCACCTGCGCTGCCTCCGGGAAGAACTGGCCAGCAGCACTGGAATGGAGGGGTTAGGGAGGGACAGGAGGGAACGTCACCCCGGGGGCACGCACGCACGCACGCACACGCACGCACCTGCCCAGCGTGCGCCTTCCTAGCACGTCTGACCCACCTCCCGCGCCCTCCCTCGGTCCCTGAGACCCCTCCCTGCTCCGGAGCGGCCCTGCGCCCTGCCCCTCCTCAGCTCTCTCCCCCAGCCCAAGTGGGGAAGGCTGCTCCACCCCTCGGCCTCCTCTGCCTGCCCGAATCTCCCCCTCGGTCGAGATGGGGCCGCGTCCCCCATGAGGGTCTGGATGAACCGGGCCAGTGAGGCGCTGCTGTCGGAACCGGGCTTGGCAGTCACCAGCGGTTCTCACATCCCTCCACTGACCCAATTACACCCCAGAGAGAGGAAACCAGAGCCTCGCCGTTCCCTTTTGACAAATTGGTCCAAGCCGCAGCCCAGCCCCGTGTGATACTCCAGGCAGAGGCCCTGTGCGCCTCTCTGCCCATTTCCCCCTCCAGGCTTCACGAGTGCGGCCTTAGCGGAAGGAACCACGGGGCCACAGGGCCGACTCCTGGCTCCAGGCCTTGTCTAAGTGCTCTCTTCACCAGGCCCTCTGCCCGAGCCCTCTCCACCTGGCTCCTGCTGCGGGCGCCTGCACTCCCGCCTCCCCCGGGCCGAACTCGCCTCTGCACGCCTTCCGGGCTGCAGGCTTCCTCAGAAGCTTCCCTACAGGGCCTGTGTGGAAGGCGCTCGATGCAAACATGCTACACAGTGAATGGCTTGCAGTTTCCCCTTGCAAAGATGATGAAACTGAGAACACCTCCAAGGCGCAGGCCCGGCCGTATCCTGATTCCAGAGCCAAACCCAAGCTGAGCCTCCAAGGTCACAGCACAGACAGCTCCGTGTGAGGGGACCACACTCACACACGGACACAGACCCACGGTCAGAGCAGGGCTCTGCCAGGGCCACCTTCACCTGTGTGGGGCGCCTGGCTCCGAAGAACCCGGCTCAAGACCCACCCATCGGCCCATGAGAGCCCCAGCGCTCCCCGCCGCTTACTCATCGTCCCCTCCGCATAGCTTGAGCAGCGCCTTCTTGTACTCGCCAGAGGTGTCGTTCTGGGGAGAGAGAAGGAAAGGACACTTCAGCAGGCCTAGGCTCCTCTGAGGCAAGGGGGAGGGTCTGCAGCGCCCCAAACAGCAGAGTGCTGCAAGTCATCCACAGCAGGCCTGGCTCCGGCTTCCGGAGTGGCTGAGCCCTCCAGACTGGTGTGCCAGTCACTACTGAGAGCTGTCTCATGGGAGGGGGATTGGAGGGGAGGGGAGGGGAGGGGAGGGGG